CCCCGCAATGCAAAGGGCGATCTCGCGACAGGCGCTGGAAGGAGAGGAAGAGAGTGACGAGGACGACGTGATGGCTATTGTGGCTTGGGACCATGGTACGTTTCTGCGCTGTTGTTTAAAGTTGATGTCTGACGATCGCGCAGATGAAAAGGACCTACCGGACGAGGAGCAAGGCGAAGTTTCGCTGGTCGACACCAGCGATGGGTTGTCGCTACTCCGCGTCAAGCACAGCAAGGCGTACAACAGGCATTTGGCGGGAGCGGCCAAGAAAGCAGCGACGGCCCGAAAGGGGAAGCAGGCGCAGCGGGACGAGAGGCTCTCGCGTTCGCGCTCGCGCTCCAGTTCGCTTTCCCCTGGACCGACACGGCGTCGCCGCTCGACCTCATCCGACGTGGGTCGCGCAGGCGGCAGGCGACCGTGGGAGCGCTCGCGCACCCACTCACCTGCGCCTACAGGGCGTGGCCGCTCGAGCTCTCCGAACCCAGGTCACGGGGGCGCCAATCGGCCGCCAGGACCTCCGACTCGCAGCGATCTTCACCACCGCGTTGAGAAGGCACTGAAGCCTGCACCTGTACGGCGTCCCCGTTCCCCAGCACCTGCGGGTGGTGCGGGCGGCACTGGCCGCCGTTCCCCTCCTCCTGGACGACGTCCCCGTTCCCCAGCACCTGCGGGCGGCGCTGGCCGCTGTTCCCCTCCACCTGCACGGCGTGCCCGTTCACCTGCATATCCACCACCTCCACCTCGCGGCGGTGTTGCCCCCGGAGTTCGAAGTGCGCTGGAGGCGCGAATGGCTCTGCCGCGCGTTGACTTGCTGGAGATGGCATCAAAGCAGAATACGAAACGCAAGGAGCATCCACGGGGCGCTACAGACCGCGACCGGAAATGTCCACGGAAGGAGCAGGGTGAGGGGCCGTCGGACCGTACGGGTCAGGCATCGGGATCGAAATATAGGGACGAAGAGGAACCCAGGCGGAACGACCTGAGAATGAAGTTCAAGGTACCGGGGCCCGCAAAGGTGTTCCGTGCCACCGGGTTCTTGCCTACAGACCACCCCACTCGCGCAGACCGGTACACGGTATACGAGTCTACGCCGGGCATTTGGATTACTATACCCCTGCAAATGACGCCCATCATCGCTTCTAGGGATGACCTCAACCGTTATGAGTCAGAGATCGAGATACACGGATTGGAGGGCTAGTCTTACAATTTTTTACGACTTTATGTGAAATGTGTATTAGTTTCATGCCTATCTACTGGTTTTTATTTTGTTCATCAAGCCTGGGTGTTGGACACCCCGTCTTCAAAGACGGTGCCCCGTTCGATTCGGGGTCGGGCTATCCCAAAAACGGGAGACAGGTTTGTTTTATTTGGGTCGGTAACGCCATGTATTGGACCTTACTCTACTTCAGGTCGGCTCCTGCATGGGCTTGGTGGTGTAAAGGTATCACGCCGCATACGCTTGGTGGGACCAAGATACATAAACGTTCTTGCGGAGGTTCTCTGTTCGATTCGGGGCTAAGCCATCTTTTTTCCCCTTGTGATAGCTTTATGCCTATCTACTGGTTTTTATTTTGTGCAGCAAGCCCGGGTGTTGGACACCCCGCCTTCAAAGACGGCGCCCCGTTCGATTCGAGGTCAGGCTATCCCAAAACGGGGTACAGATTTTTTTCCTTTTGGATAGGTATCACCAGATATTGGACGTTACTCCACTGCAGGTCAGTTCCTGTATGGGCTTGGTGGTGTAGTGGTAACACGCCATCTATCCGTACGCGGATCAGATTTCTTATGGTGGAGGTCCCCCGTTCGATTCGGGGCCAGGCTATATTTTTTCCTTTTTGAAGAGCTGGGGCAGGCAGGAGTCGCGGCGTTCGTGTCTTTTTTTACGGGAAATGATATGATATATTGTATGTCTTTTTTTTGTTTGCTCTTTTTTTTTTTTTTTTTTTCCTGACTTGTATGAAAAGCAGGCCTCTGTGCCAAACAGGGGACAACAACCGATATCGTCCCAAAGAGGAAGTTTTGTCTGAGTGACAAGAAAAAAAGGGGAAGAGAGAGGGCAATACAGTAGCAAATGAATGTCTGTTGAATCGATGGTGACACATTTTATTTGAATAGTGAAAATGACTGCGCGAAAAAAAATGGGTGGTGACCAAAAAGGGAACACTACGGCTATCGTCCCAAAAAGGGAATTTGCGCTGGAGGACACAGAGAAAAAAGTAAAAAGACAACGATAGAGTGGTGGAAGAGGTCTTGTACATTCAATAGTCAATGGATAATTAAATATTTCACTTGAATGATGGAAATGACTTGTATGAACAACAATTGGTGAAAGGGAATTTGGGTCAAGATAAACAAGTATTGGTGTATATAATGTGAATTTGAGTAGGCTACGTACGTAATAAAATGTATTAGAGCAATAGAATAGATAAAATAATTGAAGTCAGAGATTGAGAGAAAAAGAAAATCACAAGTCATTAATGGCCTAAAGGGTGAGGCAGTGGGACATCCCACGACAAGATGAAGGGAAGTGGGACATCCCACGACAAAATGAAGACAAGTGGGATGTCCCACCATAAAAACAAGGGAAGTGGGACATCCCACGACAAAATGAAGACAAGTGGGATGTCCCACCATAAAAACAAGGGAAGTGGGACATCCCACGACAAAATGAAGGCAAGTGGGATGTCCCACCATAAAAACAAGGGAAGTGGGACATCCCACGACAAAATGAAGGCAAGTGGGATGTCCCACCATAAAAACAAGAGAAGTGGGACATCTCACTGGGTGATAAGAAACAAGGGGGAATTCCACACCATGCCTATGCCAGTCACCTCCACTGACTATCTGACAATTTCCTCTCTCTCAATTGATTACTGTACTGCGCCAGTTCTGTAAGTAGAAATGTTAAGACAATAAGACACCTTGGTGTCTTCATAAGGTAAGACAATAAAGGCTTCAGGCTTGGTAAGAAAGCCTGAGTCAGATGACGGTTAAGACAATAAGGGCCTCAGAGTAATATACAAGTCTGTCTGACTGATGAGTCAAGTGTGATGAGAAGGGAAACGCTCAGTACACCTTCATAGTGTGAAAACCCTCTCAGCAATTCCTGAACAGAGCCAGTTGCTAGCCCAAGGATACATGGATGTAGCAGTACCCACATATGTACCACCTTTGCTGAATCATGGTAGAAGAAAGGAAAGCCAGACAATAGGGAGAGTGTTCCTCTCATCTCATACATATTGAGAAACAGGTGTATGATGTACCTACCTACATGGCTGAGGCAGTTATAATGGTCTCAGTCTGAGCCATGCCATGCTATGGTCCTGCAGCCCCAGGATTGAACAGGTTTGTGCTGTGTATTATGATAGCTAGGGCACCAATAGGTTGGATTGAATGATCAAGGAATTGGTATACACCATTATCTAAAGCAGCAGGGTAGAGCCAGTGAACCGACTTTTTTTGGGGAAAAAGGCAATTTTTTCTTTGCCACGCTGATGCACAGCATATATGGTGCTAAGACACCCTGGGCCAGGGCTTCATGGAACACCAAAGAACAGCCCAAACGGAGCCCGTACGGGCACAAAAAAGCGATTTTGGTAGCAGGGGGTGCATGGGGTCCTACCCAGGGTGACGTGACCTAGGTGGGCAATCCCACCTCCTGGGGGAAATCCCACAAAATTTTTCGGGCCCGCCTTCGGCGGGGTGGGATGTCCCAACAGTGGAGGTGGGACATCCCACGGTGGGAACACATAGAAAAGTGGGACATCCCACCAAGGTGGGACATCCACCCAAACCTGGACCCCTTAGGGATAGTTAACTCAATGAAATGTGTGACCCTAGGGGGTACTTATATAGGTAGCCTGAAGTGTGTGTTGACAATGATGAAAGTGTACAGAGGTTGTATGGAGGTGGTGGAGGGAGGTGGAATGAGCCGCTGTCACTTACCTCACTCTGATCAACCAATCAGAAGCCGAATAACGCAGTGTTGGCCATTAAGGGTTAATCTGGACCCCTCCGGGTCATTAAAATTTATTCTGCATTGAGGGTTAATATTAAGGGCACCATTGAGGCCTTAATTCCCATTTTAGGAAATAATTTCCTATGCAAGATTTGGACGCTACAGAGGCCCTGGTCGCAAGCTACTTCCGAATCAATTGCATCTCCACACATAATTAATAAATGCACCTATAGGTACCCTTCCACTGCTTTTCCCAGTCATCTTTGTCGAAGATCTTCGAAGGTGCCGTTGTTTTCGGAGAATTTCTTCTCCTGAACAAAGCCCTTGCAGAACTGGAGCCAGTGGGTTCTCTGTCTTTATCCTTACAGAAAAATCCATCCCCAGAGCTTAACAACGGATGAGGATGGTCATGAAACAAACTTTCATGGAGCCTGGCAATATCCGGTGCTCCGGCCCGATCCGATCCGCAAGGTTAAGCCTTAATGATCCTCCCAGGCTACTGGTTAAGGGTTAGGATAAGGCCTTAATAACCCTTAACCGGATTAAGGCCTTAAACCTTAGGGCCAACACTGATAACGATGAACATTCTGCAGTTTTTTTTTTTTGTGGGTGAATTTCATTGCAAACTAATTGGTTTAAACTTGAATTGGGAGTCTGATAACATGCCTCCTCTTCATTATATATTTTTTAGATTTTACCTGTACATCTGAAATCACATGCACAATTTTGACCGAAAGGTCCTCAAGTGCTCATTACTGTAGCCACTTCAAGTACAATGTTTTGCGTGAACCACCAGATAAAAAATTCTTATAGTATTCAATATGCATTTGAATGACTCTACTACTGTAGGATACTGTTAGAAACTCTTTGTTCTCTTAGGCAGTTGAAAGAGGGTCTCAAATCATTTATTCCAGCGATGTAAAAAATTAGAATTGTATTTGTATGTAGTACAATATAATAACGGTGATAGAGTACATGACGGGCGTTTTCATAGCACACACCCACAATCCAACAAGTGCCGTCAGGCTCGAAGAAGCAGCCCGGGAGTCGGTGGCTCGACTCGTGTCTCTTCCCCACGCTGGCCCCATCCTTGCAGCAGAACACTGGATGCACGTGTGGTGCAGAGCCCAAGCACGGAGCGTGCAGTGCTGTGGGCAGTGTGGTGGGCAGTGGAAGGGGACTGACACGGCTGCGAGGAGCACGAAGGTGGCAGGGGTGGGCGTGGAGGCTGCGAAGCGTGGAGTGTCAACGAAGCAAAGCAAAAGGTACCACCGCACCAGGGTGCGAAGCCTGAGCGCAGGCGAACCCCACCTATGCAGCAGAAGGGGAAGGGCGCAGCTGCAAAGGCAGCACGAGGGTGCATGCAGAGGGACACTGAAGCGGGCAGCAAGCAGGGGACACCACATACACGTCACCTTGCACTATTGTCCCGGGGCGAGCAGTTTGGAGGTGGTGCCCGACGTTAATGTGACGGAAGGGACGGGAGTGGCGGTGGGGGGTGTGCACAGAGGGACACTGGGATGTGCACATCGAGGACAGCAGGGCAGCGGCAGATGGCGAGGGGGGGCACACAGCGGTAGGTACATGGCCAACGGCCACGGTGGCCCATGGGGTGTGCATGAAGAACAGCAAGGGCACTGTACGGTCAGGGGCAACGGGTGGGGTGCGCATAAAGAACAGCAGGGGGGGTCGGCAAAGACGGTGTGTGCACCGAGGACAGCAGGGGCAGTGGGTATAGAGACGGCGGGTGCAGACAGCAGGACGGGAATAAGACCGCCACCGAGCACGGAGATGGTGGACACAGCGTCCCCACCCACGGGGGCAGATGGCGCAGTGGTATTGGGCGCACAAGGAGCACAGGGCAGCACAGAAAAACCCCTGCAACATGCACTGCTCCAAGCAACCAGACCCCAGCCTAGCCCCAGCCCTCCTCCCTGTGGAGCGGGACGTACTTCTGGGGACATGGTACCGGTCAGTTAGACCCGCCAGGGGGTAAGGCGTGCTGCTGCATGAGTGCGAGAGAGCGAGGTATAGCTGCCATCCCAGCGGATGTACAGACCGTCAGCGGCAAACGCGGGGAATGTCGAGCGAGCCGTATACGCCGTAGGTGCGGTAGGCGGCAGTGGCGAAGGAGGTGGGAATAAGGTGCTAAAAGGTGCCGAAGCGTGCTGGTAGAGGGCAAGGACAACGAGGGGAGGTGAAAGAAACTGAAAGGATCTGTAGAGGAGTGATGGAGAGCAGTGGAGAGCGGTGGTGGCGGCAGAGAGCAGATGCACTGGTGGTGGTCAAATGGGGAACGATAGCACAATGCTTCTTCTTCTTTCCTTCGCCTCCGTCTTCACCTATTAGATCAATTCTACTAACACAAAGATTTGGCCTAAGAAACCTTGTACGTAAGTGCCCTGTCACTCCCTGGGGTGGGGTGGACACTGGGAGAGTGCAGGACATGTTGAGGTTCAATTGAAAAGAAGGAAAAAAAAGGTGAGGTGATGAATGGTGAGACGAAGACATATTGAGACTGGCTCTAGGTGCACATGGTCAAGGAGCACGTCTGGGCCGTGAAGG